TTTTTTTTAAATAGGAAATTCAACAGTACGGTTTCCAACGAGGATATGCATAAATGAAAGGTAAAAAAAGAAAAGTCTGAAATTAAAAAAAAAGGAAATATTATATATATATATATATATATATATATATATATATATATATATATATATATATATATATATTCATGATTGTAATAAGAAACAATAAAGAAGTACCTTGACGAAGGCTTTAATAAACAGAGCAATCCACGACGGGGCTAAAAGCAAGTAAGAATACACCTAAAAGAGGATATGTATATATGACGTACGTCGTCGTCGAAGCGTATTCAACAAAAAAATCGAAAATGCTTTTTTAACTGCAAATTATTATATCATATCCAAGTATTTTACAAAAAATTAAAGCCGATTACACAATATTTAAAGTTCAATTTATGCTTTGAGTTCGTAACCATGCAATGAGACGAGTGTAATAAGTAATCGGAAGAAATCTCCTTTGTTTGATGATTACCTCCCTTTGGAGAACTCTTTCGTTTGTAGAGGGCTATAAATAGTCACTACTACGCTTGTCTCAATTATTCTAAGCAGAATAAAGCTTCCTTAAGCCTTCTCTTGCTCTCTTTTGTTTTTACAATGACATTACATAAACCGTAGATTTGTCTGCGGAATATCATTACGTCATTGTTATTAATTATAGTGAAATCATTAAAGTTTTTTTGTCAAAAGCATTTTATTTTTGGTCGTATATTAATTTAGAATATTCCATTTTACAGGCTTTATTTTTTAAATGCAATAAGATTTCAGAATTTCACTATTGCCCATCAAAATGACTCGAAGAAAATGATCTAAAAACAACAATGGAAAAGAGAGGTAACAAAGCATAAACGAAATAGCTCCAGTTTGTTCAACTTCAGAAACTTAGCATTGCAGTCGAAGTATTCTAAAATGCTGCCAATAACAAAGAAGAACATGAAAAATACCTAACAACAACTCAAATATAGCATCAAAATTTACATTATTTTTATTTATTTGTTATGTAACTAAATACATAATAGTTAACAATTTTTTCGTAAAACTTGATATTTCCTGTAATAAATATTATTATTGTTATTATTTTACTTAAGTGAAAGGTAGTGCTACATTTACAATTCCTTACAGCTAAAAGAAATGTTGATCAAAACTGCCTAAAACCTTTAAGCGCGTGTTGCCACAAAATTATCAAATGTTGAATACGTCCCTCCTCCGAACGCGCCATATATAGTACAGCAAAAAGTTGGATGATTCCGGAAGAGTTCAAATCGAGGGAAGTTAATAGTTATGACATTCTCCCCGCCTCAATTTTGTTTTTTAATAATTTTTTTAATGTTCTGGATATCGTAATGTTTTTCTTCGATTCCTCGAAGACCGTATTAGCGTCATTGGATCTTCGTTGATCCTCAGAGTCGGAGGGCACCGGCAAATGTATGTCAGGGTTACTCAATGGTTTAGAATGGATATCAGACTAGGGTTCCTCCACTTTAGTGCTCTTTTCCACAAGAATATCTTGGTCCTCCCCAATCGTATTTGTACCCAACAGCAGCCAAATCATGCACAGATACAATAGATTGTCATTAAAGCTTACATGAGCATATAGGGATTGGTCTCTAACAGCTGAACCTCCTCGACTAAATGTTTGTACTTATTAGCACGGACATTACGGAACAGAACCGAACCAGATGTTGCTAGACAAGTGGGCAAGAAATGATCTCTAGGTGACCGGCGTTGATATGAAAATATTATTTTATGGGGTGTAGTGTCGAGGTACAGAGTAGAGATCTTATGGCATGCAGTACTGCAGATAAAACAACTTCGCACTGAAATTATCGTAGATTTCTAGAAACCAACCCCATTATGACGTGGTTTTAGATAATTCCACTGTATCGTTCATACTGACCATTCCCTTGAGGGTTGTTCGACTCAAATTAGTGAAGTACTTACACAGTTCCTTCGATAGTGTTGTAGCATACCTACGGACGATAATGGTTATGTCCACATTCACATAAATACAATAGTAAATACTGTATGTTGGTCTGAAGTTGGAGATTCGTCGCCAGTTGAGTTGGTCAAACTCTCTGCCTCCGGGAAGAGACGATCCCCAGATGTTGCTATGTCAAAGGACTGAGTCTCGTCTCAGGAAATAGCTACACGCCCCCTTTTATACGCGGTCCACGGGGAATTTTTGTCTGAGCCTACGGGCTCGGATACTCCACATTAAATTCGGCCTCGTGCTACATCTGACAGCGTGAGGCGGTTGGTAGATATCCTGCAGTTGGAAATTCGTCACCAGCTGTGCTGGTCAAACTCTCTGCCTCTGGGCAGAGAGGATCCCCAGACGAGGCTATGTCGAAGGGCAGAGTCTTTCTATTTTGTTTTTAAGCTTTCGGTAAGCTAGCCACGGACTCACGATTTAATGAGAACGAGTCAACCATAATTAAAGGTTTGATCTTATCCGAAAACGTTGATATCCATTGGGAATAGTATGAAAATAAACCAAGAACCGTGCAAAGGTCAGCTTTATTCAAGGAGATTATAAACGAGACCCATTTTGAAGGTGTTCAAGAGCTGTAATGGCGGAGCCGAGGGTCATCCAAGAAAAATTCTTTCAGCAGTGAATATAAGCGTGGCAGAGAAGAATGGAAAAGTACATTAGACTCATAGTGGGGGAGTTACTTTGAGGGGGGAAACCATGTAATTTGTTGTTTGGAATTGAAATAAATTGTTTGTGATGCCAGTCCCCTTACTTTTCAGACTGTCCATATATATATATATATATATATATATATATATATATATATATATAATATATATATATATATATATAATAATCGATTCTGTCGTATAAAGGGTCAAGCAGATCAGCTTCCAGGAAACTGACAGCCCGACGCCGGCACATGAGATTCGATTATAGTGGTGAAGGTTTCGTGCAGGACCAACGATACTTTTTGAAGGGACGAATACAGAGACCTGGTGCACCACGTGACACAAGGTCCCCAAACAACCCTCCGCAGGTTTTGAATTCAGAGTTGTTGTTCTCCTAGACCAGTTGCCATCCAAGGCTACATAACCCAGTCTGTCCTGCTATTTTACCCATAGCTGGAGGGAGAAGAAGGATTCACACCTTTCCCAACGTAAATGATTTTTTTTTTTTTTGAAAAAAAAAAGTCGCTTGAAGATGGAACAGAGCTTACTTTAACTCAATTTAATTCAAGTAATTATATTGAAGTTTTCGGCTCTTGTTTTGAAACATGAGACCTCTTATGTCGCGAATTGGAATCATATTTTTATATAAATAATTATATTTATGCTCTACTTTTGTATCGAGCATTATTTTTAAAATAATAACTAAAATACTAAGGGACTTTTGGATTATTTACCTAACCAGTTCCTTCCTATTTTATATATATTTATATATATATATATATATATATATATATATATATATATATCCAGGTAAGATGAGAACGAATAGAGTACAATTACAACGTTCGTAATAAACATTCAATATATATAAACATTTAAATTAGAAGCAGCCAACATTAAATAAAAGTGTCTTCTCCATAAGGGACCATATATTGAAGTGTGTTTAAAGAGACACACCCAAAAATTTTCAGTTTGACCGTTTACTTGACTGAATTTAAATTGATTCTACCAAACATTTGACAGTGTCATACGTGAGAATGCTGGAATTAAAAACCAGTATTAAATAAGTTGTCTTTCTTCAAAAGGAAACAAGGTGTCTTTCTTCATATTTAAACACACTTCATATTGAAGTGTGATTAAAAAAAAAAAAATAACGCACGTAAAAAATTTTATGTATATGTGTTTTTAAACACACATCAATATATGGAGAAAGACAGTTATTTAATGTTGGCTGCTTCTCTTCTGGAAGGAATGACACCAAATTCTGGAGGATGTAATAAAAGAGAAGCTGCCAATATGAAATAAGTTACCATTCTTCATAAGGGACTATATATTGAAGTATGTTTAATATAAAAACAAGAGAAAAAAATGTCAGTTTGACAATTTAAAAGATGTTACCTTGATTTGAGTTGAAATTGGTTTCGGCAATCATGAGAACGCCGGAATTTAAAAAAAAACGGTTGTGTAAATATACAAAGAACAATCCTTGAAAATGAATGTAGCAATATTTGAAAGTACTTGAGAAGAAAAAATATATATATATATATATATATATATATATATATATATATATATATATATATATATATCTTTGTGTGTTTATGTGTGTGTTAATCTACATGTGAGTGAAATCCCAAATTGCCACATGACTATTTACTCCTGCCTCAAAAGCAAATCTAGTGTCCGTGACAAAAATAACCTGGCCGTTTATCTCGAAAAGGACCTCCAATCAGTTGTGGACTGGAGCAGGAATTGGCTGGTTAACTTTAATGCCTCAAAAACAAAACTACTCTCTATCACTCACCACAGAAAACCATCCCGTCCCCCCCCCGCTCAACTCCACGAGAGCACCTTTTTGCGACTGCTCGGTCTCACATTGACTGCTGACCTGAGATGGAACAAAGGCATTGTCAATAGCTTCATCCACCACAAGGAAAGTTGGCTCCCTGTGTCGCGCCAGGACATTTTTCTCGCCAGAGTTGATCCTTCAAATCTAGAAATCAACCATTCGCCTTTGCATGGAGTATTGCTGCCATATATGGTCTGGTGTCCTTTCTGTTTGTCTCAAGTTCCTTGATAAAATCCAGAGACGTATATGCAGTGTAATTAGCCGTGATCTGGCATCTTGTTTGTAGTCGTTCTCTCACAGACGTGTCGCCGCCTCCCTCTGTCTTTTTTCCAAATACTTTCACGGTAACGGCCCCGATGAGCTGTTTTCGCTGGTTCCCAGACTTCATGAATTTAAGCGCTCAACTAGACTGGCATCCCGCTCTAACCCTGTCACTGTCAAAACTGTTAAATGCAGCCTTGTTCTATCGCCCACCCTCTCTTCATCCTTTCCTCTATTACTCCTCTTTGCTCTCGAGATAGATAGATAGATAGATAGATAGATAGATAGATACGAACAGACTGAGATAGATAGATAGATAGATAGATAGATAGATAGATATAGATACGAACAGACCGAGATCGATCGATAGATATATGGATAGATAGATAGATAGATACAAACAGATTGAGATAGATAGATAGATACGAACAGACTGAGATAGATAGATAGATAGATAGATACGAACAGACCGAGATCGATAGATAGATAGATGGATATATAGATAGATAGATAGATAGATAGATAGATAGATACAAACAGACTGAGATAGATAGATAGATAGATAGATAGATAGATAGATAGATAGATACGAACAGACTGCGAGAGATAGATAGATACAAACAGACTGAGATAGATAGATAGATAGATAGATAGATAGATAGATACAAACAGACTGAGATAGATAGATACGAACAGACCGAGATGGATCGATAGATAGATAGATAGATACGAACAGACCGAGATCGATAGATAGATAGATGGATATATAGATAGATAGATAGATAGATAGATACAAACAGACTGAGATAGATAGATAGATAGATAGATACGAACAGACTGAGATAGATAGATAGATACAAACAGACTGAGATAGATAGATACGAACAGACCGAGATCGATCGATAGATAGATAGATAGATAAATACAAACAGACTGAGATAGATAGATAGATACGAACAGACTGAGATAGATAGATAGATAGATAGATACAAACAGACTGAGATAGATAGATAGATAGATAGATACGAACAGACTGCGAGAGATAGATAGATACAAACAGACTGAGATAGATAGATAGATAGATACGAACAGACCGAGATAGATAGATACAGAATGTGACACAGAACATATTGAAGGTAAGAAAGAAAGAAAGAAAGAAAGAGAGAGAGAGAGAGAAAGAGATAAGAAAAAGAAGAAGAAGAAGAAGAGGAATTATAAATCTATTCGACTATTATTCCACTGAGAATTTAAAATGAGGAAATCATTGTAATATTCTTAAAAACTCCGAAAGAATCTCATCGACTTCGCTGAAACATGAAAAGTGTTATCTTTCTTTATTTATTTTTACTCTCCCAAATCGCCATAATGTTTTCTTTGTATCAGTCATTACGGCATTAAACAGTGCTTACGGCGACAAGGACACCAGCGACATATCTGACCGGTTTTCAATCATAATGTACACAATGTATTATTTGTAATAATTAAGACGTCATCGTCTTGTTTCTTGTCGGAATCTGCGTTGACCCGAGTCTTTAATCGCGGACCGGGCCTTGGTTTATCAACGGCTATATTTTTGTTCGTTGTTCCCATATCTTGAAGCCTGGGATTTTTTAGTGCATTTAGTGACGGGTTTTGTTTATTTTATTGACAATAGTGTTGCCTTTATTGTTGTGGGAAGGACGATTTTTCTTTTTTTTTAGTTTACTTTGAATCTTGTCCTGCTTAAACATCGTTTTAATGATTTCACGTGTGTAAATTGTTAAGCACGTATTCCCGCATTGGCTGAGTTCTTAGACCGTCGTCGGCGTTCCGACCATAGGACCGGCGTTCACATCTCATGATGGCGAAGTTGCCAAGGAGGTCACTTTATGATAATAACCTCTTTGAAAGACTATACCAGAGCGCGACATCGCGGGGAAAGCACATGTGAGGTAAGGGGCATGGTGCGTATTGAACCAAATGAGCTGGGAAATGAATTCGGAAGCTGTCGTTGTTGTGCGAGCATCATGTCACAAGTCATCGTGACTGAGCGTTTGAGCGTTTTGGAATTGTTCAACTGTTGTTCACTCTAGATAATGCGCTCTCTCTCAGAAACTATAACAAAGGTACATTATATATATATATATATATATATATATATATATATATATATATATATATATATATATCCCCGTGTAATATATTGACTACGCCAACATTGCGTTACCCAGATATTTTTATTAGAATTTAAATTACACAACGGTCAGTCTATACTCAGAAGTGTGGGTCGTACAACCAGTAAGGTATAATATGTATATTCATTAATATATACTTAATAGCTCTGTTATATTACATAGAGCACTATTTTATTAACACCGGCACTATAGGTGAGATATATTATATTGTTATTCATATAAACCTATAAACCACAGGCTGACTCAAGATGTTGAAGAAACACAAATGTGTCTGAGTGGGTGCCTGCAGCAGGGATTAGCTAGTGGTCCCAGAAAACGCGTGTGCTTAAAAATGTGCATGCACTCAGTTTATCGTTATTGTTGTTATTATTGTTTTATTTAATATCCTCTCCGGCACTTAGATGTTTTAACAGGGTGATGATGATCATATCCTAACCCTATCCGCTGCTTAGAGACACAACACTTTCCTCAGTCCGTTCCAAGAAGCGCTGCCACCTGCACACTCTCAACGATGGCAGGTATCCCCAAAGCGCACCTCAAGGTAGAAAGATTCTTGGAAACAGTCCTATGTGCGTCAAACCACAAAATATACAGCTTGAGCTACTGCTTGGTGTATTTCTCTGATTTATCCTGACAGGTCTTGGTACCTCTTTATTTTCACCCACACAATATTCTTATCCCAAGGTACCGCAACATCCTCTTGTGTATAAATATCAGGGCGATTTCTCTCCAAGCGCTTGTCAGTCAAAATTCACATGAGCTTCAATTAGTCATTCACATCTAATGACGGTGATTACACTCTGTAACAAAGTTTTAAATATTTAATTATTATTATTATTATTATTATTATTATTTCCATTGATTTCTGGTATATACTGCTTTCTTTTAGGGTCTCGTCCAAAGATCTAAGGTCAGAAATGGCATCTTGACATTTTCCATTGAGCAGTTAAAAAAACAAGCACACATATTTTACATAGATAAAGCCCTTCGTAATGTGTGGGATGTACGTGTGGGTACAATTTTTGCATATCTTTAAGGCATGGGCTACCAGGAATCCCTTCAGTGAGTCTATTGGAATCTTTTCCATTCAATCAGAGTGGTCCAACTACAACTGGAGTTGTTGATGTCCTCATATGCAACATTTTTTAGATTTCGATTTCAAGGTCGTCGGTCAAGAGCTTAGTCTCAATAAATCGCAGTGTGGTGGCTGCTTTACTTGCTCTACGACAACCGGAGCTTAAAGTCAAGTGATCTACAAGCGATCCCTCGTCTCACGCTCCACGGTGGTGGGGGGAAATAAGACGCCGTCGTCAAAATCCAGCCTGTCGCACTTGTCAAATCGGGTGGCCCGTTTGCGGACGCCGCCGCGTTCGAAGCGACAACAGCCGAAGAGAAGGTGCAGCGACAACAAGCGCCTCAGACGCAGACCCGACAACCGCAGCCGCCCCTATGGCAGGCTCCAGTGAAACGAAAAGAGACGCCTTTAGTAATACCGTGATGGCACCGGTACCGGCTTAAAGGCTTTTGCGTAGAGGCAGCGTGGCACCGCCGCTCGTTCGAGCGGACCTTTGCTCCGATCCCGTGGTTCCTCTCGTACTGGACGAGATAGCCGTGGCCACAGCCGACTTAACATACACGTCGATCGGTAGGATAAAACTAACCTGTCTCACGACGATATCATTATTATTGTTTCATATCCTCTCCGACATTTAGATATTTTGGCCGGGTGATGATTATCGTATATCAGCTTCTATCTGCTGCTTAGAGACAACATTTTCCCCAGTATGAGTTGTTCTGAGCATAGATGCCATCTGGGCTCTCACAGAGAGATCGGGTGTCCCCAACGTGTACTCTCCAACCACAAAAGGGGTATGTATTTGGTATACTTCTCTGATTTGCCTTTCCCGCTTTTGGAACCTCTGTATTTTCGCCTGTTACGTTTTCAAGATGTTCGCATCCCAAGGTAGCCAACATCTATCAGGAATCAGGATCCATTAATGGCTACTCTTGTACAATAGCGTGATATCGTATTTATATGACTTGAAAGAAAGACTCAAAATCCTAGAAGATATCATTATACAAAAGAAGCAGCGAATTTTAAATTCTATTTTATTTATTAAATTCTATTTTATTCACTATAGGAGACGTTATTTTAAATAGGCAGACGTTATGGGTTGAATTTAATAAAACATGTTATAAATATCTGCTAAAATACGTTGAGCCAGATTCATTTATAATGTAAATAATGGTATACCTCTTTTGCTTTTGTGTTTTGAAAAATAAACCAGTAATCTCCCTTTATGCTTAATATAAAATTAATATTCACATCTTTAAATCAAAATTATTTTTTTAAATATATATAAATCGTCATTATTTTAAATACAAAATATATTTTTTTTATTCCCGTATAATATATGGATTACGCCAACATTGCTTTAACCAGATATTTTTATTGACATTTAAATTACGTAACGGTCAGTATATACTTGTTGGCACCTCGACATGGTGTAATGGTTAGCAAGCTTGTCTCGCTAGATCAGTTACGATTGAAAAGTGAGATCGATCCTCACTAACTGCCCGAAATTTTAGGCACCGCTTGTAAGCTACGCTTAGAAAATCATTTGGGCACCTTGTCGTGGTCTAATGGTTAGCAAGCTTGTCTCGCTAGATCAGTTGCCCCATACTTTCGGCCTTGTGCCACATTTAAGCTACGCTTGGAAAATCGCTATATATGATTTGTGTGTGGGTCATTAACTGTAGATTATACGACGCTAAATCAGAAATAAAAGATATTGGCCAGTTCCCGGATCGACCCACTTCCCCGTGACTGGGGAAATACCTGAATTTGTTTTAGTCGGACTGAGAGCTATTCAGCATCACTTGTTACATCTTTTTTACATCTGTACATACAGCAATATCTGTGCAAGAAAAAAAGTTCCAAATGACATAATTAAAAAAAAATTACATAATTTATAAACCCTTATTTATATATATATATATATATATATATATATATATATATATATATATATATATATATATATATATAGTGTAATGGTTGCTTGTCTCGCTAGATCAGTTATGTGCCCCATACTTTCGGCCTTGTGCCACATCTAAGCTACGCTTAGAAAAATAACTACTCAACATTGGAAAATTGCGTTTTGCATGAAACTCAGAGTCGTATTGCCGGTGAGGAATAATATGCATATTTATTAATATATATGTAAAAGCTTAATTATATTACATTGAAACGCGGTTTTATTAACGCCAGCACTCTGCGTGCCAGAGGTCAAAGTGTCTGACCTCTTAAATGAATATACTTGAACCCATGTAAATTATTAAAGATGGCTTAAAAATAACCTTATCTCTACTTTCGATTACCAATATAGATCATTCTATTGTCCCCACTCTCACCACCTCTGTCACCTTATAGCAATCTAAAACTATCCCTTAAAAACTTGTATTAAAAATAAAAGAAACGAAATTCCTTTTTAACTATGATGAACCAGGAAAATATATATATTCTGGGGAAATGAATTATAGTTATGGAACCTTAAGGTCGTCTCAATATATATATATATATATATATATATATATATATATATATATATATATATATATATATAATTACATTGATTGCACAACTTGGAATTTCATGCTTTTTGCAAAAAATGTCACACCTGAGTTGTGCAAACAATGTAAAGTATTATGCATATTTTTTAATACAAGGGGACCCCCAAAAACGGGAATTTTTGAAGTGCATATTGCCAGACATGAGCAAGTGGCAACACTGCGAGACAGTGACATTAAGCAAGTAATCATTTCGCCATTTAGAATTCAAGATGAAATTCACAGTATCCCGGTTGAGATGTTGCAGCAGTCAATGAGGAATCTCAACAGCAGATTTCAAGAATGCATTCATACAAGAGGATGCCATCTACAGGACGTAATTTTTTAAAAATGAAAATTCCATCATTGTTTCTTAAATGGCATGTTTTAAGGTTTCAATTACTATGAATAAAATATTTTTCTTCCATCACTCTTGGTTTTATTGGATTGTTAAAAAGTTCCCGTTTTTTGGGGTCACCCTGTATATATTAAATAGCTCAGTTATTAACATTAAGCACTGTTTTTTTCTTATATTATAGAGTATTTATATACATCTGTATACGATCGCTCGCTCGTAAAGGTAACTATATTTACCTATTTGATATTATATATATATATATATGTATCTTGGATTGCTATCTTGGATTCTACCGATAAAACAATTAAACGGACGCAACTCTCTATCACTATCTCATGTTCAAATGAAAAGAAATACTGTTCTCAAATTACAGTGTTTCAAAATAATATTGTCAGTGTTTTCAACTTCACTCCTATAGGTCATAGCCCAACATATCATATCATTTTGGAATCAGGCCGACTCCGTTATCAAATTAAAAAAACATTCCGGGGTAGATCCGGACCGGCAAGCCTGAAATTTTGAATTCATAAATTTTCATAAGTGCGATTGTTTTTCATCAATTTTTTACGCAATTTTTTGCGACGAACTTTTTGTATAATAGAAATTTTTATAACTTGTAAATAAATTTGAGAATAATTGAGATTAATTTCGAAATCCAGCGAAAGTCACCCATAAAATAAAAAAAAAATAATTGTCTGTACGGAAAGTAAGGACCTACGTACATCGAATAGTCTTTAAATTAAGTGGCGTCATAAGAATTATTTTTAGGATTCGTTCGTATGAACAGAATATATATTCTTTGTAAGAAATCAGTTTGAAGATCAGGTTTCATTAACGTATTTTTGTAAAGAGGGTTTTTGTCGAGAGTCAAATGTATTGCTGCTAATATTTTTTCCAAAAATGATTTGCTGGCAATTTCTTTTTTCAAAATGTTTTACAGGTAATAATTTTTTTCAAAAATGCATTGCTGGTATTTTTGCTATAAAAACCTATTTTTACACTTGCATAGTGTTTTGACCCCAATTTAGCGGTGAATTATTTGCCCATAACTAGGACCCATACAGATGCTACCACTCCCGGTCAGGGTTTACCTGGGAACAAGAGTTTCCCTGACAACTACAGTCTTAACCTCTTCTTAAAGTCTAGAGTCAACCCTTATCTACCGTACACATCCTCATGATATGCACTTCACTGTGATGTGCGGGTGGTGTAATTAATAATGGAATGAGAACTCGGAGAGCTGGGTTCGAATTCTAGTCGACTTCGTTATGTTCACTTACGTGCAAATAAACTTGGGGAGGTAAGGTATCCATCTCTTATTTAGCTATGAGTTAAATAGTAGGACAAACTGGGTTCTAGGAGTACTCTAGACATGGGGACTCGATAAAGAAGACCAATATCCCAGCAGACCCCTATAAGAGTGATTGAAATTCTTCAGTCGTGTGAGTTGCGCATTCTGCTGCAAGCGGAGAAAGTGCATTCTCATCATCAGGGACTTTATACCTTCTTCCTTTATGCTCTCACAGAATTTTTATTTAGTAAAGCTCTACAAGGAGTGGATCTTGGGCCTTGTATTAGGTGAAAAATTGTATGTAAAAATCAAACAATCTCAGTCTGTTAATGTCTGTCTATAGCCAAAGGTTTTCCTACTTGTCCTAATCATTTCATTTCATATCTATCTATCTATCTATCTATCTATCTATCTATCTATCTATCTCAGTCATTTAATATCTATCTATCTATCTATCTATCTATCTATCTATCTATCTATCTATCTATCTAGTTGCAGTTATTAACGTACCGACACATTCAATAATTCCCACCAGATTATACAATCGTCATTCAGTTTGCTAGCGCCAACGCCTTCAGCTCTGTTTTAAACAAAATAAACGTTACTTTTGTCCAAATATTAATCACCGCCCATTCATAAAAAGAAATCATTTTTCATTCATTATCGTGACCACGTGCTGCGTTTTTATGAATTGTAAATATTCCGGCGATAACTACGAGAAACTTAAATAATACATTACTATATAAATATTTACCTACCGTGTCAAAAATATACATACATACATACATACATACATACATATACATATATATATCTATATATATATATGTACTCACACACACATACAAACATTACACACACACACACACACACACACACACACACACACACACACACACATATATATATATATAATTATTTATTTAAAAATATGATTCCAAATCGCGACATAAGAAATCCCATGTTTCAAAACAAGAGCCGAAAACATGTTTTGAAACATGTGACTTCTTATGTCGCGATTTGGAATCATATTTTTAAATAAATAATTATATTTATGCTCTACTTTTGTATCGAGCACTATTTTAAAAAATAATAACTAAAATACTAAGGGACTTTGGATTATTTACCCTAACCAGTTCCTTCCTATTTTCTATATATTTTCATATATATATATATATATATATATATATATATATATATATATATATATATATATATATGTTCAAGTTTCCTTACAGATAACTGACAAAGCATTGCGATTAAAGTCTTTAATATATTTTTCTTGCATTCATACAAGAGATTTTTTGAATCATAGAGTGATTATAAACTGTTCAAATGAGCTTTGTATCCAAGCGCTTTCGGCTATTCTATTAGT